TTATATTTATGAATATGTCCTGAAGATGGTTTATTAGACCGAAACGTCAGACGTTGACATATCAACATTAAAACAGCATAATTGTATATAAGGATTTTTGTTTTGTTTTTCCGTATATATTTTTCTTCATATATATATATATATATATATATATATATATATGTGTGTGTGTGTGTGTGTGTGTGTGTGTGTGTGTGTGTGTGTGTGTGTGTGTGTGTGTGTGTGCCCTCGTTTTTCTTTAAGGTTTCGATAGCTTTCCACAGCTTCTGTTTTAATATCTGTAAACTTTGTATAGGCTTATGGATATATATCTTTGTATACACCGGTTCTCGTCGGATGCCGAATTTATTCATTGTCAATCCTGGTCAGTTGGTTGACAACTTGGGAATATCAACTGCTGTAAGATTAGATCGGGTTAATTGAGCACGTTTGCTTGAGGGGGGGGAGCAGTCTATCTAAGAAAAATAACCCCGATTTCAAACCTCTGCTCCCTAGCGGCGAAAAGTATAGAGTAGATGGGACTCCATAAGCGTAGTGAATTTGTCACTTTAATAGAAAGAAAAACTCCTATATAAAAATATTTTGTGAGGGTATAAATTTCAGGTTTGTATTTGTTACGAGCAAAAAATATAAACAAACAAACAAATTTAAAAAAAAGAAAATAGCACCTTAAGGATGAGAAAAGAATTCTTTAAATCTGATTGTGTATAGATCTTCCCAATTCTGGTATCGGGGTACGACACCCTCTTCCAAGTTGCCCTAAGTCAGTACGGAAGAGTAGGGTGATGAAACTAACATGGTGATGTTAACCCAAAGATTTTCCTATCAGAGGATATCAGTTTCCCGGACTAATGTGTTTGCAGCTCTCAAGGGATCATTTCCTCAGTTTCAGACTGGTGTATTACATGCAACAAGAGACACTCAAAGCCTAACTGTCTAATATTATTGCACAGTCTGCTGTTGGCAAAGATAGCGAAAAAGATATTTGTATTGCCATGATTGTTCTCGGGAATGATAGTTTCGCGTTGCTTTCGCAATAATCTTCAATTCAGAGTTATCCGTCTCCTATATGTTGAACAAGAGCCCAATCAGAAATGGCAGTGGTGCGGAGAAAAGAAGGATCTATAGCTTTCGAAGAGATTTAGTGGGGCGTAAACATAATTTAACTATGTCTAAATTTGAATATCTATCTATCTATCTATCTATCTATCTATCTATCTATCTATCTATCTATCTATCTATCTATCTATCTATTACTTCCTACCTCCTGCCTTAATTCCTTCTATCTATCTATTACTTCCTACCTCCTGCCTTAATTCCTTCTATCTATCTATCTATCTATCTATCTATCTATCTATCTATCTATTAACCTGTTTGATAAGTGGAATAACAGCAACTTTGCCACCGGCAAAGACAACAGTCGGTGTCGAGCAAAGATAAAAGCCAGAATTTAAGCGTTGATTTATAAGACAAGGAATTCCACTTTCAAAGTTATCGCTACAATACGATCTGTAACCTACTAGTGTTATTTTAAAAGTTTAGTCTCACGCCACAAAAACTGTATAACTATCTGTCTACCACTCTATGTATTTGATGAATATGGAATCTTTGGCACAAACAACGCATATATGAAGTACCTCGGAAGGAACGAACAATAGTAATGTTTTAAGATACTCAAATATTAACGATCGCTTTACATTATCCATCCATCTATCTATATTTTTTCTGTTCAATATCTATGTATCCGTCTGTTTTTCTGTCTGTCTGTCCGTCCGTCTGTCTGTCTGTCTATCTATCTATAATCTGTTCATTATCTATCTCTCTTAATCTGTTCATTATCTATCTATCTATCTATCTATCTATCTATCTATCTATCTATCTATCTATCTATCTATCTTTTCCTGTTCAGTATCTATCTTTCTGCCTGTTTTTATCTATCTACCTACCTATATTTTTCAGTTTAATAACTGACTGGCTGTTTATCTATCTATCTATCTATCTATCTATCTATCTATCTATCTATCTATATTTTTATGTTCATTATCTATCTTGCTGTCTGCTTTAATATCTTTTTCTATTCGGTATCTATGTTGCTGTTTTAATCATCTCCCTCATCTTTTAATATCTCCCTCTCTCTCTCTGTATATATATATATATATATATATATATATATATATATATATATATATATATATATATATATATATATATATATATATATATATATATATATATATATATATATATATATATATATATATATATATATATATATATATATATATATATATATTATTCAGTATCTATCTTGCTGTCTATTTTAATATCTATCTATCATTAAAAGGCAGTAAAAATATAAATAGATACTTCATAATGAAAATCGCACTGATGGTGTGAGTAAATGAAAACTGGTTCAAACCCAGTAAAAGGCAGTAAGTAGTATGTTTCTCCTGCCCCAGAGACGAATTTATTTTGACATGGGATTAGCTGGATGTAGGGTTCAGTACAAAAAAGTAAATTCTTTCAGTACGAAGCTAGAAAACCGGCGCACCAATAAATTCGTTGTTTCTCCCACGTCTAACTCAAATTAAACACCTGTTTTCGAAGGCACAAAGAAAATATGCCAAATATGGGGTCGGTGAGTACCGTTTACAAAATGGCTACCAATCCAAACCAAAATCAAGTCAGGGAGAAAGGACAATACTGTTGATAAATGAGAGAAAAGCTATATATATATATATATATATATATATATATATATATATATATATATATGCAAAATTCGCTAAAAATGAGCATACATGATGGAAAAATGACTTAAATTTAACAAAAACAAAGTTTTATCCTCAAACTCTTTATGTTATTATTAAGAGGAAAGAACAAAGTATTTCTGAGCATTAAATTATAATTTGTATCCTTTTTAGAAACTTTGGTTAATATTTTATTTTTGGGGTTTTTGCGTCCGTAGGTGACCATAAATTAGTATGGGAAATATTTTCGTTCTTTTGTGCTGCACAACTGTCTTAAGAAAAAAACGATGAATAATGAATTTTTACAACAATTAGAATAATTTAAAACTTTTAAATCTTTTAAAATTTTGTATTACTTTGTAGTGTTCAAGTGATATTATTACATTAAGACTGTATTTATTAAACATAAATACAATTATTAAGTACTACAATTCAACGACCCCCAACATTTTAAAAAGAATTTTGGATTTATTTCATGTACGCGACAATAAAGTGGAAACTATAGTAAAGTTAAAATTTACTGGTAATGTTCTAACATTTCCTCAACAAGCGTCTTAAATTAAACTATAAAGTCAAAGTAACTAAAATTCATAAGATATTAGATTGTTTAGGATATTTTCTTTATTGTCTATGATTACTGGGTAGTTAAAAAAATATAATCTGAACGCCTTTTTTGTCAAAACCTCATAAAAACACACACCTCCGAAATCGTTGTCACGACCTCATAAAAACTAAACACACACGTCTATGTTATAAATGTTTTCTGAAAACTAAAAGTAATACTTGTTTCAAATCAGATTAATTAAAGTTTAAATTAATCGTCATGAAATAAAGTTTCACAAATTTGTCAATATGGACGATTTTATCGTTTTTACTGATAATAAAAAAAACAAACCCTCATTCCAATAAGTTTAAATTCAGTTTGAAATACAGCAAATTATTTTACTATTGAAAATATTAAATTTAATCTTTTAGCTAGAAATTAAAACTAAAATAAAAGCTTCAAGACAAATTTTTCATTTATAAAATTTCTCCTTTAGCAGCCCTCAGAAAAAGTCAATTCTTTTTTCAATCGACAAAAGCATGTACAATTAGTGGAGGTAAAAAATATATAGTTAATGAGATTTCTTAAGTGTCCAGACTTTAGGGACATCAATTATATATATATATATATATATATATATAACTCCTCATGCTATCCTTCACCTTCATAAGAGCCAGATCAGGCCGAAAATGGAGATATCGTTATTCTATTTTGGCGGTAGCTGCCTAGTCCTCATTTTCCAGTCTTGATAGTGTTCAAAAGCGTATCAGAGTCCTCGTTGAAGAAGAATTATTTTCCACACTCCAACCTCTCTCTCTCTCTCAGTCCCTCTCTCTCCCTCCCTCTCCCCCCCCTCTCTCTCTCTCTTACAGTCGGAATATGACGAGTCTCTCACTGCTCTATCGCTACCTCCATGGAAAGTGCTCGGACGAACTACATTCCTTGGTTCCTCCAGGTCTAACCTTCACGGCCTGGAATGTACCAATTGCACTTGCTCTTATTTGAGTAGAACTTACTTCTTCGCCGAGAAGTAAGTTTCACTCAAACATCTTTCTCCTGCGAACCCCTGCTCTGTGGAGGATGTTTCCCCGATCACTACAATCTTAACTTGTTCAAGTCTCTAGAGTTAACAGTTATCTTCCTCTCCTATCCGTATAAACTAACTCTTCGTGTACATGGTGAACCTTAGTATAAAAAAACATATTGCTAGTATATTTATTAGAATATATTTATTAATTTGTGTACATGGTGAATTTTAGTATACAAAATATTGCTAGTATATCTATTAGTATATATTTATTAATTTGTGCATTTCGTGGTGTAGTTGTTACTAAGTAAGTCTCGCTCGTCCCTTTGAGCTAAACTAAGTGAATAACTACATATTAAGTAAGTTTATTTTAGATTGACATAAGTCCGCAAGCATAGAGGGCTCGGAGATTAGTACGTTGTTTTTGTTTAGCGGCATATGAACTTCTAATGCTGAAATCTAAATATTTTGTACGCATTTTTTATTTTTCATTTGGAGAAAATAATGGATTTAGTAATTAATAATTAACCCATAGCTGGGGAGAGAAGTGGTGTAATTCATGCCTTTCCCAACAGCATTTTTGCGTAAATGACTATAATGAACCCAAATGGAATTGGAACTCGGTTCTCCTATTAACAATTCTGAGCCATTATCCATTACACTACTTGGGCATCCAAGTTTACAACACCCGGTATTCCTAAGCGGTCACCCATCTTGGTCCTGACCAGGATCGACTTTGTTTAACTTTGGTGATCGTCCGAGAACCGGTGTTTCAACGTCATGCTGCAGTAAGCCAGGGCTCGAGGAGAACCAAATTTCTAACAGTAGCCAAATTTTCTTATTGCTTGACAGCAGGTGTCCTAATAAATAAATAAAAAAGCGTGGAAGGAAAGATCAAGAGGTAGCGATACATTGGAATCAAGAGTGAAGGAGAATATTTAAGATATATAAAAAAAAGAGAAAGAAAAAGAGACAAAGAAAGAAAGATAATCTAAATTGAGATAATATTGTGGTCAGATGTTAAAGAGGTCAAAATAGGAGAGAGAAAAGGAGTATAAATCATTTATTGCTAAAATTTTGGATTACTAATTGGTATTTACTGATGAAATGTGATTGGTAACAGTCAATTTTCGACGCTGTATTATCTTCTATTGAACTCTCTTTGGCTAGAGGTAGAATCTTAGTACTAGATTGGCAGTAATGTTTCATCTTCATCTTCCATTTGAAATGGCTAGATAAAACCGTATGTTCTATAGTAACAGTTTCTTCGATTACACTTCTAGTTTGTGGAATTTTCTTCCGGATTCTTGCTTCCCAGTCAACTTTGATCTTCAAAAAAATAAATGAAACGTCAATCGTTATCTTTTGTCATCTTAATTATTGTCCTCTCTTCGTAATAGTATGTTTCTCATATTCTCCAACGCTTAGTAATCCCTTGCGTCTTGTTGTCTTGCTTGTGAAATGATAAAAAATAAATAAAAAATAACACCCCCTTATTATTGGTAAATCTGATTTTCATAAAGTAAATGGTAATCGTTCAAACTTTTAAATGTCATAGTCATTATTATTACTATTTGAGAATTATTTATTAAATGATTCTTTACATTTCATAGTTTTAGTAGACGTACAGTACATTTACCAGTTCTTGAAATGGAATATTATTAATTAATGATGTGTACTTATGTAAATTACAATTACACATGTAGCGGTTTGACCGTTTCATGTAGAATTAGTAAAAGAGATATATTTTATCGTGTTGTATGCGACACGTGCTTCGCTAGGGATTAATAAGTTTCGTGCAAAGGAAACAAGGCATGTCTTGTCTCCACAACATCCCCGGGTGAAGTGAAAGTGAAAGAAATGAGAAATGGTACCTTTCTTCTTATACTGCTTTTTTGGCAATGTCATTAAGCAGACGTTAGGAGAAATCCCCTCAGAGACATTTGGGACAATCACACAGACATAATAGTCTAAAGTTGTTCATATTTCTTAAATAAATCATCGTCAATAAAACCTGTACCTGCAATAAAACGTTGTGTCAAAATGACGGTTTTTCTCTTGACACTGCTATTATTTTAACTACCTACACTCCTTCGGCAATCTTTGTTGTTTTAAAAAAATATGATTAGAAGTTTAATAAAACCTAAACATACGAAAATTAACTGATACATTTTATTTGTTCATTGAGAATTTATAACAAAAACATTATTTATTTATTAGATAGTTTATTTACAAGAATAATTTTATTTTTACAACATTCTAAATATTCGAACCAAGTAATATTTATGATTTATCAATTTATAAGGAAATAAATATTTGTTTTATAATTCATTGATGTTTTTATAAAATTATGAATAAAAAAATTGTTTTCATAAATATTTATAAAATGGTAAATAATAAGTATTGCATTGTAGATGTTTTTCATATTTTGAAAATTTTGTATTTTTAAAGATTTTAAATAAAATGATTTCTTTTCACACTTATTTCTTTATAAAATGGTAAATAGTAAGTATATTTAAAAGTCAAATAATAAATATCGCACTGTACGTGATTCACATATTATTTATAATTTTGTAACAAAGCACAACCGACAGAGTGAAGGTAGTACAAAATAATAGCGGTGTCAAGAAAAAAACGTCCTTTTGACACCGCTTTTTTTTTCGGACACGAAGGTTAAAGTTTGCCAAGAAATTAGTAATGACAGTACTTTTTTTAAAGACATGTCAGACAGCTTAAGACTTTTTACGGCAATTTGCTAAGCGTAACTTAGATATGGTACAAGGACCACAAAGTATGAAATTTTTATGTCTACCTTTTAATATTTGTAACACACAACAGAAATTAAATGAAAGAAAAACTAATAAAGCAATGATTATATGTGATTAATAAAGGTTCGTCTCAGAATTTTGAACAACTAAAAACTGTCACGTCAATTACAGGAGTTTACTGAATTTTTTCAATCAATTCTGGATGGATTGAATAGGTAGATTTTCTGAAGTAGGTTAGGCCTAGCACCTCCTAAAAATTACACCTAAGTATTAAGTGTAAACAAACAAGAGAAATAAGACGAAATAAGTACTAACCAAACATTAGTTACGATATTAATCTATGATGGAAAGAATTATCGAGAGATATTTCGTATAATCCTCATGATATTAATTCTTTCTTTACCTTCTCAATGTTATTCTTTCTTTCTTTCTTTCTTTCTTTCTCAATATTATTCTTTCTTTTCTTTTCTTTTTGCTTTCTCATTTTCTTTCTTTCTTTTTCTTTCTTTCTTTCTTTCTTTCTTTCTTTCTTTCTTTCTTTCTTTCTTTCTCAGTATTAGTCTTTCTTTATCATTTTCCCCTCTCATTTTCTTTCTTTCTCAATATTATTCTTTCTTTTCTTTTCTTTTTGCTTTCTCATTTTCTTTCTTTCTTTCTTTCTTTCTTTCTTTCTCAATATTATTCTTTCTTCTCTTTTATTTTTGCCTTTTCATTTTCTTTCTCTGTTCTCTCTTCTATTCTCTCTCAATGTCATTCGTTTTTCTTACTTTTTTCTCTCACTATTATTCTTTGTTTATCATTTTGCCCTTTCATTTTCTTTCTTTCTTTCTTTCTTTCTTGTTCTCTCATTCACATTCTTTATTCTCTCTCTTTCTCTGTTTCTGCTATCCTCCTCTTTCAGACTATTCTTCCTACTCTTTATCTCTTACATTTTCTCTTTCTGTGTTAATTCTAGTATTCATTTTTTTATTCTTGTAGTATACAATAAAAAACTTCAAATTACTCATGCTACATTTTGACTCCTGAGCCACATGTGCAAGTGCAATAGAATAAATAAAATCAATCTATCTTCAATATTTGATCTACAAAAAAGTCAAAGTAGAATAGTCAAAGCATATAAGTGAATTGGGTCTGATCAGGAGACGTGATTTTATATTGCCTTAGAGGATAACCCTTGAAAGAAATAGACAGAAAAATAATCATCTGAGAATTTGTATTTTCTCAAAGCCAGAATCAAGTAACCGGATCACAAACGACAGTTCAACGGTAAGCAGAAGAATGCATTAAATACAAAAATAAATAAATAAAAATAATTAAAAAATCTGAACTTTGAAATAAGATCAAACTTTTAATAGTTTAGCTGAAAGATGTAAAAAAATAATGAATAAATAAAATAGATATCACCCCCCCACCCAAAAAAAAAAACACAACAACAACAAAAAACGCTACCATGAAATAAAAACTGAAAACTCTTTCACGAATGCAGTGTATCTGGTTGGGTCAAAAGTTTAGGGGGCGGGGGGGAGAAGCTTGTTCTTCTCTTTGAAGCTGATTTTACAGACCGGCCGCGTATTGTTCGGGTGGACAGCTCTCAGAATATGCGCATTTTTACGCTTGACAAAGCATCAAAAGAGACAATCTTCGGAGACATTTACGCGTCGTCTTCGTTCGCATATTGTTCTATTGATCCGCTGTGGTTAGCCACCAAAACAATTGCGTAGGTGTTTAGCTTTCCCTTTGAAAAACAAAAAGATCTCCAGCTTTAACGCGTTTTCCTCGATCGCGAATGAATGATGCGAGTTTTTTTTTTTTTTTTAAACTTCTACTGAGCCAAGAAACAGTTATCATTTGACTGTATCTCCGCTACGCTTCTTTGTGTAATTTATTTTTCTTTTCCTTCTGTATCTTATTTGTGAGCGGGCATTGAAAGATTTCTTTAGGTTCTGATGAAATGAAGATAGCCCTCCTATATAGCGGAGGTTCTTAAAAGAAGACTTCTGAGACAACATTGACAATTGGGGCTGTCAAGGTATTTATTCAAAGAGGCTAATCGACGAAAAGAAAAAAAAGAAGATACAATGACAAAGTAACCTGGATAAAGAACCAGTAAACAGACAAGCAAGCAAATGAATAGAAGAAGCAATTAATTTGACAAATTTATAGCAAAAATGAACTCAGGCCTCGGTTATCGACGACGTAATTAACACGAAAGAATAGAAAAGGAAAAAATGTACAGGGAAATAAATGCTAAAATAAAAACATGAAATGAAACCCAAAACTTGGAAGTAAAGGGGAGATAATAAGGAATGGGGGGGAAAATGCAGGTGAAAAAGAATAGAAGTAAAAAAGCGGTAATATATTTTGAAGAAAAAGCAAACAGTATAAAGAGCGAAAAATAAAAGAGGACAAAATTATGGCCCTCCACAACCTCCTATCCATTATAACTCGAAATGATACTTATCCTTTACTATTCCTCCCACCATATTCTGCTATATACATAAACTCGTTAGGCAGTTTATTCACTGTTTTCCTGTCTTCATTATGTCCAGTGAGTGTCAAATTCTCCAAACCTTCTTTTCTCATCATATGCACCAGAAATGTCTAATTTCTGATCTAAAGTAAAATTGTTCTTTTCATTCATATTTTTCTGAAACTTCCACATGTTTCGTCATTCTCGGCATCCTTCTGTAGAATCACATCTCTTACATTTCGATCATTTCACCCCAAGCAAGTATTGGCACGCAGGGTGTTACATGGTGTGAAAGTGAGACTGAATACAGAGAGAGTTGAGGAAAAGACAAAAGATGAACGGGATTCGAGAAGATAGATGATGATTGGCGTTGCATTTGAATTTTTGAAGATTGTTGTTATCAGGAAAGCAAGTAAACAGAATGGAGTTCCACAGACAGGAAGTGCGAGAAAAGAAACCGCTGGAGTAGAAGTGGCGGTTGCATTTAGATATTTCAACAGTAAACGGGTGGGACCTAGATGCCAATCTAGTAGCACGCTT